CTGTGATGGGTACCCAGGGTTCTCTGTCACGGTCTGTGATGGGTACCCGGTTTCTCTGTCACGGTCTGTGATGGGTACCCGGATTCTCTGTCACGGTCTGTGATGGGTACCCAGGATTCTCTGTCACGGTCTGTGACGGGTACCCGGATTCTCTGTCACGGTCTGTGATGGGTACCCGGATTTTCTGTCACGGTCTGTGATGGGTAATTAGTTAATTATATAGTTATTAATTAGTTAATTAATAATTATATAGTTAATAATTAGTTAATTAAGATATGAATTTTCTCTGTCACGGTCTGTGGGGGGGAGGGGGGGGGGTGGGTGCAAAATTTCTACCCTATACACTTCAACACTCCTTTCAGATCGTGTTTCACAAAAAACTCAGGTAAATTACCAAATGAAAAAGAAATTCAACAACGTGTTGCACGCTCTTTAATTCTTCAAATTAACTGTGTCATAAAACTTACCCAACAAATGCGAACAGAAGATGTACAATATCTTCAATTACTCGAAAGACTTCGTAATGGACATTGTAATCGTGACGATTATGAATTATTATTAACACGAGTTGTTGGACAACCATCAGTAGGCTCTCTACGTGCTTCACCATGGAATAAAGTAGGCGGTCCTTTTCATTTCCACTAACTTGCTACTCTTGTCTTTTTAGGCTCCGATTCTTGTGTTCCGAAACGAAGTGCGAACACAATTGAATAATAAGGCAGTAATTTACAAAGCAATAGAAATGGGACAAAGACTCATAGTATGTGTCGCTCAAGATACCATCAAAGGCAAACAAATTGAAGACCCAACACTCATTAAAAAATTGTTAGAATTATCTGATAGTAAAACGGAGCATTTGCCAGGTCTTTTACCTCTTGTTCCTGGAATGCCTGTTATTTTAACACAAAATATTGCTATTGAACTGGGTCTTATTAATGGAATGAATGGAATCTTTCGACAACTTGTTTATGAAGAAGAGTCTGTATCAACAGAAGTTCTTTCCGACACATTTCCAAATAACACACAATACATCCATCGACCTTTATATGCATTAGTTGAAATTACCAAATCGAAGATAGAATGTAATCTTACATCACTTCAATCAAATCTTGTCCCAATACCGTTAATGGAACAAACATTTCAAATTAATATTACCGATGTTTTACCAAAAGATAAGAGACCAAAATCAAATCGAAAGGCAACTTTATCAATAAAGCGGTGTGCATTACCACTCGTACCTGCTTACTGTATTACTACACATAAAAGTCAAGGTCAAACTTTAAATAATGTTGTAATTGATTTGAAGCTACCCAAGGAAAATGATGATATTGCTGCAATTTATGTACCTTTGCCACGTGTAAAACGCTTGGCAGATCTCGTCATTTTACGACATTTTGATTACCAGGTTTTATTGATCAAACCAAGTAAATCACAACTTGCAGAAATTGAAAGACTAGATAAATTATATTCAGAGACACAAAAACGTTTTTCTCAGTGGTTTTAATGTTTTACTATATTATGCAAGATTTTATTTGTCAATATGCATGGTTTACGCTGCATGAAGCGTAGTAGAGAGTTTTGTTTTTATTGTGCTAATTTTTATATTATATCTTTCTTCTCTATCTTGTTTACATATTCCATTACGTTATAGTTATCTCGCATTTACGCTTGATGTACATATTATTATGCCATATTATGCAATAAGTTGCGTTTTGTCATTTTATAAGTTCATAATGTAATACTGTTTATTATATATTTATTTCTGTTTTAATCTGTTATGTCCTCATTATTGCTAATAAATCATTTATGCTTCTACTATTGCTAATAATACTTTTGATCTAAAAATTCTTCTGGCCATTGTGAATATATATACTCACATTTCAAAATACTGTACTAAATATTTTGTTAGAAGAGTTCGGCTTACTAATTACAGTGAAGTTAGGTATAGATAATTCGGTTTTCTTTACAGGCTTTAGTTGAAAATGATATTTACTCTAAATTATTCCACAAAACCGTAAAAGTGTTTCTTACAATATTTACAATTGCACTAAAATTTAAATCATTTCAATAAGAAGATTTAAACATCGATTGTATCGATATTAACATTTATGTAATATATTTTAACCTTACACAGTCGAGGGTCAAGTGAGTCGAAGCGACGAACGTTACTTGTTTATTACCTGATACGTTTTATTTAAAATAAAACAAAATACACCACAAGATGCAGCGTAAAAAACTCCATGATTTACAAAGAACAGTTAATATTATATATGCAATTTTTTGATTAAGAAAAAGCAAAATTGTGAGAGAAATTTTCTATGATATAAAAATTCTATATAAACGAATGCTTCCTTTTTTCGTATTTCGTTCTTGTATCACCCAATATGTTTTCCTTTCAAAAAACAGAACATGTGGAAAGATGCAGCGTGAAAAGCTCTACAATTTGTAAACAACAATTTTATTTAAAATTTGTCTTTTTTATTTTGAAAATAAAATCAAAATTCTCTGAGCCACCTATCGCAGCGTCGAGAATTGGTTACTCAGAGTGCTACCTATTTTCAAAAGAAAGATACATAATCAAGATAAGCTTTATACATTAGATTGTAGAGCTTTTCACGCTGCATCTTCTGGTATATTTCGTTTTTTTTCATAAAATGTTTTTAAGGATCAAAATATGAAATTCCAAGTTCTGTCATTTATTATAAGTCATCCATTATGTAGCATATAAGAAATGGGATGTTACTCACATAAAAGAAATTGCAGATTACGGCAAAGTACAAGACTTAGAAGTCTGAAATTTCGCACATATTCCTAAATATATCTAAGCATTATAGCGGAATACTTGAATGCAAACTGAGACTTTTAGAAGAGCTGTATGAAAAAACTTTTGTAGTGCCCTACGTAAATATCAATCGTCATTGATTAATTAATTTCTTTTTTGTACTTCATTAATAATGGTTGTACTGATGGAATTTAGAGTGATGATCGTTAAAAAGTTAAAGATATACGAATTGATTCTTAGGTTTTTCAGATATGATGACTACTCCTAATGATAAAATATCATTTATCATGTCTCAAAAAGGAAAAAAAATGTTGAATATAAACAATTTCATCTTTAAATTGAATAAGACAACAAGCACAACGAAATAATATCGATGTGAAGATTAATGTTGTACTGTTACTGCTCGTAGTGATCTTGAAGATATTAAACCCCCCCTCATATTAGAAGCCCCTGGGGGGCTTCTAATATGTCTACCATATGAAGCTTCTGGAGGGGAGCTTCTATTAAGTCTCAAAATAATTTCGTTAACTGCTAGGAAAAAGGGTTCGTAAGGGTTTTTAAAGATTTTCAAAGTTTTGATGAGTTTTCCAGAAGATTTTTGGCATTATTTCCAGATGTTAGCAAAGCTAGATAAGAGTCAGCCAAATTTTCACCTGAAAATCGAAAACTTCTAGCAGTTTTAGCATGAAAATGCGAAAAAAATCTTTAAAATTTTAAAATTTTTTCGAAAAATTAGGGGGGCTTCTAATACGTCAAACACGTCGTTCATCTCAGAGGGGGCTTCTAATAAGAGGGGGCTTCTAATATGGGAGGGGCTTCTAATATGGGGAGGGGTTTATTTTAAACGTTAAAGGTGATCATTATCATCCACCTGAACCCAAAGAAATGCAAATTCGAACATTCAAACAAGTCTCACAGGTCGACCAAAAACAAAGAAAACCCTTGCTATTCAACACCGAATTGATACATTATACGTATATTCGTTACGGTAATGATGATAATAATACTAACGAACTTCTCGATGGATTATCTTATGTTGTTGCTAAAACTATTAAGTCAAAAAGAAAATGACTACTCATTATCATATGTGAAGTGACATTTAGTCTAGGTCTTTATTATATTTTATAGTTATTTTTTATCTGCCTATTATCATTTATCACATGATATATATGTTGTAGGCAAAATTGAAATTCAGTCATATTTGAAATTTGCCCAGTCAAAATTGAAATTTCAATTTTGACTAGGCAAAATTAAAATATATTTCTTATAACCAAAAAGAACAGAAAAAGGAGAAAATATTAAAGTATAAAGAGTTTCTTTATTTTCACAAATAGTTCTCACGTATATCATATGAACTGTCTGTTAATTTACTCCATATTCAAGCATCCACCTCTCTTTGAATGACATTTAGTAGAGCAAAGAACATTATCTTTTTTGCATGGGCATGTTTTTGTTCCACATTTGCCTCGACAATTATATGTACGTCCAGTTGTGGAACCACGTGAACAAAGTTTTGAAGTTTCAATAATGGTTTAGATTTACCTGCTCCTATTGCTGAATCAACTGATGACTTAATTGTTAATCAAGGTGATAGCAGGGTTAATTTAGACGATGGTATCGATAGTGAAATAATTACTCTTGTTAATCATTTATCGAATGATGCGTCTTCAATCAATACACCATTAACATCAAAACCATCTTCAGTTACCATTCCAACTTCTACACAACATTCTACAATTCGGGCAGCCGCTTCAAGTAATTATATGGCACATGCTACTAAAAAATGAAATTGTATGAAGATAGTTTAAAAATTATGTCACATGATTATAATTTGAATGATTGTATTGGTATTGAAATTCATTCGGTTGATCGAACAAATACAGATCCAACATATTTGCCATGTATCATTGCTGGAAAATTTGAAGGAAACAATATTTCTTTATTTAAATTAATTTTTCAATATGGAATTTTGACTAATACATTTGAAGCTGCATAATTTGTAAATTTAAAAGATGCTTGTCCAATTGAATTAAAAAATGTAAATGTCGATAATTCAAAACCAATCACCATTATTGAAGCTTCAAAACTTTATTCACATGGTTCCACAACTGGACGTACATGTAATTGTCGAGGCAAATGTGGAACAAAAACATGCCCATGCAAAAAAGATAATGTTCTTTGTTCTACTAAATGTCATTCAAAGAGAGGTGGATGCTTGAATATGGAGTAAATTAATAGACAGTTCATATGATATACGTTAGAACTAATTGTGAAAATAAAGAAACTCTTTATACTTTAATATTTTCTCCTTTTTCTGTTCTTTTTGGTTATAAGAAATATATTTTAATTTTGCCTAGTCAAAATTGAAATTTCAATTCTGACTGAGAATGTATTGGGCAAAATTAAAATTTTAATTCTGCCTAGTCAAAATTGAAATTTTAATTTTGGCTGGGCAAATTTCAAATTTGACTGAATTTCAATTTTGCCTATAACATATATATGGGGCTGGTTAACCTGGCCGGAGGCCCCATTAATATTTCTTTGTATTGTAAGGATAAAACATACTGTTGTTCGGGTCATATAAGAGAGGATCCTAGATAATCTTGGATTGGCCCGAACAACATCATGTTTTATCCGTACAATAGTAGAGAAAAGCTACCAGCTTATTGTGTGAGTTGGTAACTTTTCTCTACTATTGTATGGATAAAACATGATGTTGTTCGGGCCAATCCAAGATTATCTAGGATCCTCTCTTATATGACCCGAACAACAGTATGTTTTATCCTTACAATACAAAGAAATATTAATGGGGCCTCCGGCCAGGTTGACCAGCCCCATATATATATACAATTGTGTACTTATCATTCTGTTGGTCTGTTTTAAAATGTACTAATACAAAGCTATGTCGAATGAAAAGCGACCCAATACGTTATTAAACTACAATTTTTCTTCCAAAACAATACGTACTGATACTGAAAATTGACCACAAGATTCGAATACACTTGCAATTAGTACAATTACAGCTACAACAACTAATGATGATTCTAGTTTATTTTTATCCAGTGATCCTGAAGATTTAGGTCATGTGAGTGATGAAGTTAATTTTAATGTCGAAAGTAATGAATTGACAGTGATTAATGCTCGACCTAACACCAATACAAATGGCTTCGGTTATTATGCATTAAATAAATTATCAATTGATAATCATTTGAAATATTCTCTATTAACAAATTATTTTAAACCTGATAGACAATATTCGTTTCCAACGTTATATTCAGATGATCATAAACATTCTCGTCGATTCATGATCAATTAGTTAAACGATTATTGTTGGGTCCAAAAAGTTTTGGCCCATCAATAAAAACTTTGCCCATTTTGCCCATCATTTTTTTTCTACACAAGCGAGGTTTGCCCAATGCTCTAAAAATCCTGGTTACGCCACTGATTGTGAAGCAATGTTGAATGAAATTAGAAATTTTGTGAAATCAGCAGAAGATGAAAGTGGAACTCACTCATTTCTAATAACATATTCAAATTTGAATCAAAACTATTTTCAGCAGAACTCACTCGTATTATTGAATTACTACTCAAATAATCTTGTTGAATTGACAAACGGCATCGTGTAATTCTTTTAGGTGACGATTTCGACAGAAAACAATCCAATTGTGTTCATTTGCTTAACATAAGTGGCTCACATACACTAAGTTTGTTCAACTAATCGCAGAACTATCCGATAGATAAGGTTATCAATCTGTAGCAATCACAGTCATTTTAGAGAAAATGCTAACCTGCTTTCAGAGAAATAATCACAGAGAACTGCAAGCAACTAAATAGATATAACATCATTTTCTTAACGAATCTGAAAAGAAGGATTTAGGTAGAACTTTTTATCGCCGTACACTAAATATTCTTTATATAAATACTCATAAACTTTCTGATGAGCATTTAGCATAATTTACGACTAAAGGTGGAGAAATGAATCATTCTACTTGCTTAAGAAATTCTTATATTAATCTAGGCTTAGGCATAGAATAATCGATGGTGAAACTTAGAATGATCTGGGTGTGGATGGGTGTGGGTGTGGGTGTGGGTGTGGGTGTGGGTGGGTGTGGGTGTGGGTGTGGGTGGGTGTGGGTGTGGGTGTGGGTGTGGATGCGGGTGTGGGTATGGGTTTGGGTTTGGGTGGGGTATGGGTTCCAGTGTAGATTTTGGTTTGTCAACTCGGTTGTGAGGAAACTAACTCATACACTCACTCATACCCCGACTTGGTTCAACCGGGATCATGGTATTGGGCGGTATAGGATTGTTTCCGAAATGCTAATATTGTTTTTGGACACTGTGCAATTACGGGAAAAAACCAAGTAAATTGGTGTTATACTGCATAATTTTGCTACGTTCGATTCACACTATTTTGCATCCTTCAAACTGTTCGAAGAATGAGTAATAGAAGGAGCAAAACGACGATGATATTTTTATGAAGGAAAAAAGATTTATCTGAATAATATATCATTAATGAATGATCGAGCAAGCAAAAAGACGATAGTAATTATATGAAAGAGACAACGCATCTCATTAATATTTGATCATCAGTGATTTCACGGACACGATTGAAGGCACACAAACCAAACTTATATTAATGAGGTACATATAAGCGACGTCTTGTTTTTATTTCTAGTATACAATAACGTTGGTATAGTGTTATTCTGGTCATTAGCGCACAAAATTTCTTATAATACAGAAAGCAAGCATAAGTGTTTTGAAATTATATTTTCTTTAAAGGGTGGTTTTTATTGTTAGTCTTAAGTGAGTTTTTCTATTCTTAAATAATATCACTAAGCTTACAATTATATTGTTTTTTCGTATCTTACTAACTAGTTTGTCACTATCTACTGCGAGGTGTTTCATTCGACTAAATTCAATCTTGCTATCATCTGTTGTCATTTTTTGAATTCTGGTTTGCCAATTATTGTGCAACACATGCACAGACGAAAATGTATCTATAGTATGGTTGGTGATGACTATTTTGCAAAAGACTTGGACCTTTATATTTTCGATTCAAACATCTAAGATTTACTTAATCAAACACCTCGCAGTAGATAGTCACAATTGAATGAAGTCCATTCCCCAATCCTCTTACACCGTAGTACGAGGATGTTTGTTCTTCCTCTCAAATTTTACTGTTGTCTAAAACTATTTGTATTTCTGGATCCTACTTACAAGATCTAGATGTCGAAAATAACTGAACATCGATCTTCTGGCGGATGTTTTTTTGATTCTGGCACATACAAACTTATTTTATTTCATGTGACCCTCGCTTCAGTCGAGGGAATATCGTTATTTTCTCAAAAGACTCTTTCATTCATCCAAAAACTTCAATTCAAAATTTCGAGTAACTAACTTCAGATTTGGATACTCCCACCTCCATTTACTTTCGTCAAACTTTATGAAAAAATTCACTTTTGATGTTTTTTGATCTTGTGTTTTTTTTGACGTTGCCGCAAACAGACAGACAAAATGTTCTCATTTTTATTCGGATGACTTTCCCTACGATCGAGTGAATCATTTTCCTGCCGACAAAAATATTTTGAAATTCTGTATGAAATTAATAGGAAATGTTAACAACTATAAAGTCACGCTTGCCACAGAACGTCTGTAGAAACAGTTGTTCATCAGCTTTGTGTGGTCCCGGATAGAAAAAAAACTGTTCAACATTATGTTCTTTTACCTTGTGAAAAGGTTTGACCTCCGTGAACATTATATATGACACTGTACAGATAGAAAGTGTTTCAGAAAATTTTCGTAGAGGAATGTATTTTCAACAAGATTTTGTCTAAGAATTCGCTTAGAATATTGTCAGCAGAAGCCGCCATGGTTGAGTGGCTATGTTGTTCGACACGTATTCACAAGATTCTATGTTCAAACCTCAGTATCACCACCATAGAATGACTTTGAACTAGTCACTAACGGCTAAGTTATCTCGAATGACACATTCGTAGGGTGCAGAATATATCGCTGGTCAGTACGCTGGACGATGGAGTGCAGATACCGCTGTCTGCAAAAAAGAAAAAGACGAAAGAAACCAGCTGCATGTGGACCCTAATAATAATCACGGCTAGCCTCAATGGGCGATAAGCCTATGGGAGATTATTATTATTATTGTCAACAGAGCGAATATTTCTAAGTAGATAACAGCTGTTTTTATGATATCAACAAAATTGGAGTGGAGAAGTTTTGCAAAAATCGTGTTCCTCCTAAGATGACTTTGTGGGTAGGTAATGCGAAAAATTCTGAAGTCGTAATGACGAAGCGGGATAATGGGCTCATTTGATGCTTATGTTATTCAATAGTCCCATGATGAGGATAAAAATCATAAAAGATTCTTCAGTAAAATATAATGGGCGCGCAGTTCTTGAATAGGGGTGATTTCATTGAAATGGTAACACGACATTTGCGGCGTGACATTTGCCCTCCGACACTTGCTCGCCGACATTTGGTGCACGGCACTTACGTGCACGAGAGTACCGCGTGCGACGTTACCACGCACGAGTGTGTGAATGTTGAAGTATGGCAGCACCAGTTCAAAAGATCGAGGGAGCTGTAGCTACTCAACAGCTGCAGCTCTCGTGCGGTAAAGTTCATCACTAGTTCAACTCTCAATACTCGGAGCTGTTCACCGGTTCGCCTTCCAAAAGCAGGAGCTGGAACTGTCCACCAGCTCAGCTACTCACGAATATTTTTCAGAATAATAGTAGCAATCCTAAGAATGCTACTTGTATTGCTGAGGTTGCCACAACCATGCCTTAGGATGCAAAAAGGAGACCTGGTGATGCTAGAAACATATCTGAGGATGCTACTGGATGCCGCAGACTTGTTTCAAGCGTCCCACACTTGTCTTTGTCATAAGCAGCCATTATTCTAGCAGGCTCATACCTGCCTCCAGCATCCTCAGCCATGATTGTAGTATCCATAGAAACCATTTTAGTATCCTCAGATATGCTTCTAGAATCTCGAGGAATGGAAATAGATTCTCAAGGATTGCTAGTAGTATCTTCAGAGCCGGTTGTCCGTAGCTATGTCGTTGAACAGCTCAAGACCCTTATAGGGAAACTCGTGGAAAGCTGCAACTACCGTTAGCTGAAGTGTTCACCAGCTGGAGTTGTCACATATCTAAGCGAACCCATGCGAGCTAGAGCTCTCCATCAGTTCATCTACCACGAATGGAAAAGGTGTCACCCAAAAACTAGAAGCATTATGAAGAAATTTCGAAGCATGCCTGAAGTAGCTAGAAGCATGTGTATAGATGATAGTTCCATGCCTTCGATTGACAACACAAACACCTCCATTGTTAGTAGACGAGCTGGTGGGCAGTTCTAGCTCAGATGAGCAGGAGCTGCATACGAGCTCTTCGATCAAACCCTCGGAATCTGTAGAACAGAAATTTCCACACAACCGCACAGGCAACCTCATGCGTCGAACTGCCACTGCGCGAAAATATTGTTGCGCGTAAATGTCGTTGTGCACAAAGTCGTGCGCCCAAATGTCTGGCGCGCGGATGTCGTGCTACGCATTGAAATGTCGCTAGCTCTAAGACTTTAATATTTATTTTGCAACCACGGTGAACGATCCTACGTGTAAAACAGTGCAATTTTCCTGTAGTTTCCTAGTAGAAACATAGAATGGCATGGTCACACATCGGTCACCCTCGTATGGGGGAGGTTTAAACTCATAAAAATAAATAAATTCTATGTGAAATGAAAAGTGCACAGCCTACAGTTTATGAAACACGTTGCAAGCTCCCAACTGCCAAATCTCTTTTCGCTTGGTTCTATTGCCCTTCGGTTGGTCTTGATGAGTAGTGAAAAAGTCTATTTGGGTTTGGTTGTCTGGTCTTCTATTATAGATTTACGGATGTTTCACTGGATTTTTGGTCTATGGACATGAGATTCCATGAGAACCTGAATGATCGAATTTCGAGCTGAAATTTTGTCCATAGACAGCTCTCATAGTCATTACAATATCCCCAAAGTTTGAGTCAGAATAAATCTATTTTTATCGAAATATTCACATTTTAAAAACCTCTCTGTTGGGTTGTATTTCCAAAAAGGGATATTTTCAAAACAAGCTAATATCTCGACAAGGGTATACTTGTTCTGGCTCAAAGTTTGGGAATCTTCTAATGACTATGAGAGCTGTCTATGGACAAAATTTCACCTCGAAATTCGATTATTCAGGTTGTCAGGAAATCTCATGCCCATAGGCCAAAAATCCAGTAAAACATCCATAAGTCTATAATAGAAGACCAGACCACCAAACCAA